CCCCAAAACCCCAAAACCCCAAAACCCCAAAACCCCTTAATTTTATGATTAAATTGAATATTTATAAACTCTCTTCAAGAAATGTCAAAAAGTATGGAAGCTTCTAACGCAATCTGACAGTTTTGATTTGACTTTGCTACAAACCCAGTTGCCTGAGTTGAATGTTACGAAGAAAAGAACCGAATCAAATTCTTTTGTGAAAACTGATACTGGATAGGCTCAATATAATAGCCAAAACTTTAAGATGCAAAGAATGAAATTCTCTCAATCCTAAAGTATATAGAACTAATGAAAGTATAAATACTAAATTTAACGAGCATCCACAAGTCTGTGAAATTAAAGATGAAATTTTTGAGGAAATCAACAACGAAATTAAATTTGATTGACCAAACATTTGTGATGACTATAAGGAAGTGGACTACAAAACACTGATCGAACACTGATCCAAGCGTGAATGCAGACACGAGTTCGACCTCGAAACAGCTCAAATCGAAGATATCCAGCATAAAATACAGCAGATGCAAAATAGTAATTCTTACTTTGTTCCGGACTCAGACGCTATTATTCTCAAGGAAGACTGGGGTCAGTTCAATGCGAAGTGTCTGATTTGCCAGTATCTTGCAAGCCTTGACGGCTACATTTGCTACAACTGAACCATTCTCTGTTGCAAAGACCATTGAGAGAAGTTCACGACAACAGAGAACCCGCACCAGGCTGAAGACTACCACCCGTATGGGTTCAAGTTGTGAGTCCACTGTAAGAAGTATTCAATGGTGCGGACAAAGAGAGTTCCGAGCGTCTACGACCAGATTTCGAGGTTCAAAGTTCCAGACTGAAGCGAGCCGGGCTGAGACAGGAAAGATTTGTACTACCCTCAGATGTACCAGCATGAGCAAGTCTGCACGGGAATGGCCAGCGAGAGTCTGGATCCTGTGAAAGTCGAGTTGATTCCATATTTTCATAAAGAAGGAGATAAAATTAGTCTCCTCGATACAAGTCATTTCGATTGATTAATAAATTTTGCTCCTTCATGTACCAAAACTTTTGAAACTAACATCAAGCTTGGAGCAGGCTTTAGGGTATGTTTAATGAAACACACTCAGCATATACTGATTGTTGGGGGAGAAGGCAGTGAAACAAAGACACATATGTTCAACTCAGAGACAGAGCTAATTGAGGAAACAAAATTAGAACTCACTTTTCCTAGAAAATTCCACTCAATTTGCTCTGAAAATAACACAGTTTTTGTGACAGGAAGTGAGATTCCTGAGGCCGGGGATAAAATAGAAATATACAAGTAAGTAATCTAAATTTTAGCATATAGGCCAGAAAATAAAAAATGGATTGAAGGAAAATAGCTTTGGATCTCCACGTTTCCACCACTTCTCAATAGTCTCTCAAGATATTCTTTTCATAATGTTCGGTGTGTGTCCTGAAACAGGAGAGCCAGTTGATGGAATTCAGTATTCTGAGATAAAGCATCTTCAGAAAGATGGATGTACATGGTACACTCCTCGGCAACTCCAAGATGAATACTTCAGACTTAAAAGGAATATTGGCTTTCTACCAGACCCGTATTCTGCAAAGGTGTTAATATTTGGGGAGAAATACGATGAATATAATCCATATGATCAAGATCCCTTAATGTATACTTTCGACTTTACCAATGAAGAAGTTGATCCATATGAGGGGATATTCTTTGATCCCACTCTAACATTTGATTCTAGTACAAACTCACCAGTCTTCTTTAAGGGTGTGTACTACGTATTTGGAGAAGACCTGTCTTCAGTGATGGTGTGCAAGAGAGATTTCAAATTTTATGAGTAATTCGAGAAAGTTCAATTGTATAAAAACTGTCTGGGGTTTTGGGGTTTTGGGGTTTTGGGGTTTTGGGG